AAACATGAGAAATACGTAGTACTAGTGTAGAATCAGCTTACCACTGCTGCAAGGAAGTTTATGAGCAGGTCTTCCTCTGTAAAATTCACTTTCCCAAAGGGAATGTGAACAATCCCAGTTTTGTCTGCTCTGAATTCCACTTTCCCCTTCTTGAACTCTTCTATAGCCTGATAGATGTTTGCATCTTTAAAACATGGGTTACCAGAATCAGAATCAGGAGAGAGATTGCAGAGTAGACTTTACCTGGGGAATGTTAGCTGTGACGGTACCAGCCTTGGGATTTGGCATGAGTCCCCGTGGGCCAAGAATCTTTCCCAGGCCAGCAACCTAACAGCAAAGCTCAAGAAAGTTAAGAATACATCACGAGTTACAACTATCTCATGTCACAGCCGTTGCCGTTTTCATATTGCTCAAACAGGCCAAACGAGTGGTAAACACACACACCTTGACCATCATATCCGGGGATGCAATTAACTTGTCAAACTCCATGAACCCTCCTTTGATTTGTTCAATCAAATCATCACTTCCCACAATATCTGCCCCTGCATTTTTTGCTTCGTCGACCTTCTCACCTGGAAATGGTGCAAGCCAAAGAATACGAGAAGAATAAATCACATTGTTTTATTAAAAAAGAAGCCACAGGGAATGCACCTCAAAACTCCGTGCAAATCTAAATATAAGAGGTCAGCCACACCAATGAAGCACTAAGGAGGATACACTGGAATCGTAGCATAATCCCTTGAAATGAGCTGTCCTACACTACTAACTTAGTAATTTTGGTACCTTGTGCAAGAACAGCCACTTTAACAGTCTGCCCGGTCCCCTTAGGCAGGCTCACCTACACAGAAAGGCCTTGTGCATTCAGATGCAATAATATTAATATCAATGAAGCAGCATAAGTTAATTGCATGCATACATATATCTATCCAATAACAGACCGTTGCTCGCAGCTGCTGATCATTGTACTTGGGATCGATGTTGAGGCGGAAATGGGCTTCTACCGACTCCACAAACCTTGTGTTTGCGGTTTGCTTAAGCAACGAAATAGCGGTCTTGACGTCGTACTCCTTTTTGGTTTCCCTTAGCTTTTGGATTTCCAAAAACCTCTTGGACCTTGTCTGCCAAAACCCACATGAACAAGTGCGTAAGCGAAACTTGAAAGAAGAATCATGGAGAATTGCGAATCAAGGACGAAAGTAAAGCATACCCTATCTCTCTTGAGAACCAAAGCGGCTTTTCCTTTCTTAGGCTTGGGCGGATCAAGGACGGCTGTGGCTGTGGCGGTGGCTTCCTCAAGGTCATTCTCCTCCGAGTCGATGTCGGCCACGGCGGAGACAAGTACCGGGAAAGATCGGTTGGGACGCCTGTCAAGAAAAGAAGCACATCTCCTTCCCCCAAGGAGAAGAAGCGGGGGGTTGGGTCTGGGGTTGGCAAAAGAGAAGAGAGAAGGAGGTGCAAGGTCCTGGGAACGACTCGATGCGGCGGTGTAAGCTAGCATGAGAGAGGAGTGAGTGGCGCAGGCAGCCATTGTTGGTGGAGTTTCTCGGAGCAGAGAAGAAGGAGAACACTTTACTCTCTCCCTAATCCACAAGAGGATAGAGATAACATTCGTATTATACTCTGTGTGACGCTGCACCATTGCTACGGTGTTTCGCTTCCTTCTTACTTGACACGTGTGTGTCTAAATGCTGGACCGTTCGATTTCCTTTTTTCCCCAAATCCTCTCGCACTCATTTCCCGCCCAGTCGAAGAAGAAACCCTCCAAATTCCTCCTCTTCTTCCCAATTGATCCGAATCCCACAGACATTTCGCCGATTTCGTCGAGATGTCAAAGGTAACAGTCTGTGCGCGATTTAGGCCGCTGAGCTCAAAAGAGAACAAAGATGACGGTGTATGCGTTCGAGGCATCGACGCTGAGACCTTCGTTTTCCAGGTTTGTGCCAGATTCAATCATATGTATCATTCATTCGGGATTTTCATTTTGACACCATTCATCACTGATCCTTAGGACGACGAGTTTACATTCACCCTAGATCGAGTTTTTTATCAGGACTCTGCCCAATCTGCGATTTTTGACTTTCTCGCTCTGCCAATCGTCACAGGTACTGACGAATCTAAAATGACTTTTGGGAGTTTAGAGATTTCTGATTCTCCTTTCTTTGGTTTCCAGATGCTGTGAATGCTATAAACGGAACAATCATCACTTATGGACAGGTTTGTGCGGGGGTCATCTCTTTTCTACCTGAATCTTGTTGCCACATTTACATCTCACTTTGATTCTACACTTTGCAGACAGGGGCTGGCAAGACATATTCCATGGAGGTCTCACCTATTTCTATATATATATTTGTATTTGACCTCTACCCATACCACTAGGACCTTGCCTTCCTGAATAAACTCTTCTTCTATCGGTTCAGGGACCAGGCATCCAGGACTGTGATGAGCACAAGAAAGGATTACTTCCAAGGGTGGTCGAGGGGATGTTTGACCAAATCAGCTCTTCCATAGATATTGCAAGATACACAGTTAAATTGTCTATGGTACTCATCCAAATCCACTTCTTAACACAAGCTAGAACTCTCCTTAGTTATAGCCTCTCCTCTATAAATTTCTTAAGTGCCTTTGTCTCCTGTAGGTAGAAATTTACATGGAGAAAGTGAGGTAAGGTGTATGCCACACAATTATCTCTCATCACTTCTAGGGTGTAGCTTGTCGACAAACGAATATGTCTTTGATTCTCTCAGGGACCTTTTGGACTTATCAAAGGGAAACATACAGATCAAGGAGAACAAAACACAAGGAATACTGTTGACGGGCGTTACTGAGGTTACCTTCATTTCCTTATGTCTTCTTTTCTGTTACTGTTAACAAAAGTTGTTTCAGGGTAGGTAAGTTTTAATCATTCCTTGCTTCAGGTGCCTGTATCAGATTCGACTGAGGCATTGCAACATTTATGTGTAAGATATCACCTACCCTGACTTTCTTGATTGCCTAATACTGCCTTCTTTTTTCTGATGCCAATTGCCATTTCAGACAGGTTTAGCTAACCGTGCAGTTGGAGAAACCCGTATCCTCTTAGCTTATTAGCACTTGTTCAGTATTTCCACCTTTAAGGAATAGTGAGATATAAAGAATATGCTACACCGAGCGACCAAAAAGTTATAACTGATTGAGTGTCATCTTGAAGAATGTTTCCAGTTTAACAATGAATGACAGAAATGAATATGTCCAGCAGTAGAAGCCACTGCGCTTACTTATTCACAATCCAGCAAGATTCAGTTAATGAAAAGAGGTAACGCTTTTTCACGATTAGTCATAAAACTCTGAAGCTGTAATGGTGGACCTTATACAGTGACTTTGGCATTTGAACAGGGTAAAAGCAGGAAAACTGATTCTTGTCGACCTGGCTGGCTCAGAGAAAGCAGACAAAACTGGAGCAGAAGGTAGGGTTCTTGAAGAGGCAAAGACCATCAATAAATCGCTCTCAGCCTTGGGGAACGTAATAAACGCCCTTACAAGCGGCTCATCTAGCAAAGCGAATCACATACCATATCGTGACTCCAAACTTACTCGCATCCTACAGGATGCCCTGGTTAGTACCTTTCCTCAGGTTGATTCTTTCGTATAATTATCCAACTTGTTCTCAATCTTACTGTGATTTCTCTCGTGTCACAGGGTGGGAATTCTCGAATGGCACTGCTTTGTTGTTGCTCACCAAGCAATTCGAATGCATCTGAGACGCTCTCAACCCTCAGGTTTGGCATGAGGTATGAATCTCAGTGTCACATTAGATGGACAGAAACGTTTTAATGTTCCATGTCTTACATTATTGAACGTGTTTAAGACAGATGTTTGTATCTAATTACTGTACAGGGCAAAGCACATAAAAGCATCACCACGTGCCAGTGAAGTAAAATCTGCCAAGACACAAGAGGAACCCTCCTCGGTAACCGAAGATGAAAAGTGTGGGAGGATCCTAGAGAAGGTTAAAATTCTGTGACAGCCATTTCTCTCATTCTGTCTAATATTCAGAAGACGGGATCTAGAAGATACATATGCATATTATTGTTATTATGTACAGATGAAAGAGAGAATGAGCAACGAAGACATCAAAATGCTAGAGGAAGTGTTCATACAGGAAGGGATCATTTTCAGCCTAGATTCTATGGAAGAAGTGGAAACAGCATACAAAGACATTGTATCAGAAACTATAAAATCCTTAGAGCAGACTCTTGAAGAACTCCAACTGAAAGTCAAAAAGGTGAACTAAAGTGGAGGGATTCATTTACATAAAAATTAAATATAAGTATGTAAATAGAGTGTGTGGTTAATGATGATGCAGCTGCCCTGTTGTTTCCTCTCTGCAGTTAGAAGCAGAAAACAAGAGTATTCAGGAACAAGCATTGCGAAATCAGGAATCTGACCCGGTTGGAAAGATGTCAAGGTTCATCAGTTCTTGGTATGCATCTTTCTTTCCATCATAAAGATGATTAGCTGAATATACTATCTTGGTAATGTAGAAGATGTGTGGGGAAGTAGATGGTAAAGAGATAAGTTGCCCTTTCAAAGTTGTGAAGGCAGAAAGAGATATTAATATTTAAAGTTCTGGAATAGATAAAGAATGGATGGGAGGATAAAAACTAATTAAGAGAAGAATTACAATCCCAGATATAATGTTTTAGTAACGAGAGGTGTCAGGGAGAGGAGTGTCGTTGAGGAAGTGTATGAAAAGTGAGAGGGCGCGTTTAGGCTGGTAGCTGGGAACCTGATGACCAGCCCCTCTCACCGTGGCGAATGTCAACTTCCCTTTGTACTCCTCTATGTATCCACCCACCTCCCCTCCTAGGTACCACGGATGCCAAGCCGTTTTGGCTGTTAGATTCATCTTCTTGAGCGAGTATTTGGTGGAAGTCACCGGAATTCTCCCGTCCGTATCTCCGCTGAACACCCAGACGCGGATGCCCTCACCCATCAGCTCCTTGATGAGAGGAATGACTGTGGTAGGACTGTCGTTCCACTTCTTTATCACACTGCTGCATGGCTCCCACTCGTATGGCAGCTTCGTAGCGTTTGCGTGCAGGGCCGCCTGGACCTCCGGTCTGTTAAGGTAGGCCTTCACGTAATGGTCACTGCAAGGATCGAACTCCCTTATTGTGGTTCCTCTCTTGGGCCTGCGAGTGAGCGTGGAGTTGAGGCACACGGAAGCGTAAATGTTGTAGATGTCCAAGTAATTTATGTTCATCTCTATTTGTTCCGACACCACAGCGCACTCCCCCGTCATCACACTGGGAGACTCCGTTTTGAGATCGCAGTTATTCTTGAGCCTAACCAAAGTATCCTCGGAGATCAAGGCATGACTCTCGAAAAAGTCGTACATACCCATCAAGTCGGTCTCGTCGTTGATCACCGCGTTTCCTATCAGAATTCCCTTGAGGTTGAGGAAGCTCCGGTGATGGAGAAGGATTGTATGGGCAAGTTGGGGAACATAGTGGCCGGCATAGCTCTCACCGGCGATGTAAAGGTCCCTGCCTTTGTACTCAGGGAACCTCTCCAACCATTCGACCAAAAAGATGTAGTTATCGGCCGCCGTGCTCCCGTCCCCTTGCTTCTGTAGATCAGACGTTGTGTTGGTGTAGGAAAATCCCACTCCGGCCGGTGATTCCAAGAAGAGCACGTTAGCAGCATTGTTCCATGCATATCGGTTTCTAAAAAGCGTTTTGCCGTCGCTGTGCACTCTGAACGGCCCAAGCTCTTGTAATGCTCCATACGCCAGTGACGAGCATCCCGGTCCTGTTTATTTCCAACACACAATTACTTTTAAGTGTCAAATCAAATAGAATTACAATTTCTATAATCAATCAAAGAGAAATACGGTATATAGGGAAAAAGATAGTATTCAATTATAATAAATAGAAGTAGAGCTGTGCAACAAAGCACGCCGATAATTCCTCAGCATGTGTGACATTGAGATCCATCGAAAAAGGCAAATCATTTTTGGTTTTTCCCAAGACGTCTTTTTCTTTTTCTTTTCTCAATTTTTGATTGGAGATAAGGAGTAATATTGGTGTGACAATAATCAGTTCGAAGAAGCATGCCTAGTTAGGCAGATGGTATGGTCCTTGATCAGTAAGTAAAGTATTATAATTGTGAAAAGGGATCATAGAATAATAAACAGAGAGAAAAAGACAGTCGAGATCGAACTAACATTCTTGTTCATTTGTGGCTATGTATAACAATTAGAATTAGTGTGAAGATGGTAGAGTAGAAAATAGATAGAAACGTACCGCCGTTGAGCCAGAGAAGCAGAGGAGAAGAATCCTTAGAGATGGAGGAGGCTTCCACGAAGTAGTAGAAGAAGGAACGCCCCGCGGATTCGTCGACGGTGACATAGCCACCGTACTGATCAAAATCAACGGGAGGCTGTCCGGGCAATCTCCGTATCAGATCTCTCTTTCTTAACTCCTTCTGGTTCTGCCGGAGCAAAGATGGTTTCAAATCCTTAACCGCCCTAAAATGGCTAGTGTCCATGGAACCCACCCCTCGCTTCGACAAGTAGAGACGGCTCAGAGCGTGCACTTGGCTGCTGCATTCGATCACGGACGACAGATGCAGTAACAGCAACGCAGATGCGAGTACACGACAGGCATGTCCTTTCCCCATCATTATCTTGT